CTCCGACAGAACACAGACCAACTTTTACCTGCTGTCTTAACAGTGCGTTTCAGAAAATACTACAAACGGCACAGTGAACGCCATCTGTAGCACGATGCTACATTTTAGGATTACGTATTTTTCAGACCACTTCGAATTATTTTATTCGATTAAGCTAACGTGCCTATGACGTTGAGGTTGGCTACGCCAGGATTCGTTTTCAGCAAGTAGATATCCACACAAGTGGACCTTGTTGAAAAATATGTAGCATCGTGCTACAGATGGCGTTCACTGTGCCGTTTGTAGTATTTTCTGAAACGTCAAAAATAATTTATAAGAAGTCAATAATACGTGCCAAAAATAAACAGAAACCTAATAAACGTTTTTAATATCTGAGGAAGACAATTTGGACATCGAAATGCGTTTTAAATTCAGTTCCAAAGATCTCCATTTCATTTTCTTATATTATCATGACCTTTTGAAATTTACTTGTCTTCCGTTAGTTCCGTTTGAGTGTAAGTACAATAGCGAATTGTTTGTTTCCGTTTCCAGAATATCTGAAACACGCGAGCTGTATGCAAAGTCTGCAAACGCAAAATCAAATCTGCTTCGACAAATACGCCAAAGATATAACATCGATTCAACTGGAAACCGACCAAAAGGTCCAAATAAAAGAGAAGGTCACTCCCGACCAAATCGTTACATATGCTAAAAGGAAAAGAGAAGCTGCGGACATGGGCATTAGAAGCGTCTGTTGGTAAGTTACACACATTTCTGCTTAAAAACCCAAAAATCTTAAAACGAAGAGAGAATTACAAAGAAAGGGATTCTACTTTTTATTTGAAAGGCTATAGGGGGATAAACTTGGATAGAATACCCCCGCACAGATGATGTTGATTGTTTTCTCACTCAGTATTTACTATCTATACAAGCTCTTAATTATTTACCTTGGAGTAGTGGAAATTGGTTTTTGAAAAATTGAAATAAATTTATATCCTTCGACAGGCCGGGCCGATCTTGACATGTTTTAGATATTACAATAGTGCCTCTGGGAAAAAATTACCAACTTGGAAACAAATTCATTATCTCTCTCAAAAAAGTGGTTCTATTTCTCAAAACTTTTACCAACGTATACCAATATGTATATCTCTAGATGTTTAATAAAATAATATACAATAAATTGCTCATGCC